TTCACAGACATCTAAAAACAAATTTACTACTCAGCTTGTGACAGGAAACACGCTAGCTTATCCATCGGAAACTTGCCACGGCTCCGGAGTAGTTAACCGCTTCTGCTTCGGTTGCCGCCGCATGGATAGCTAACGACCCGCGCGTTTCGCCACGTGGCTATCACGTGTAGATGAGGGTGCGAGTTGTGAAGCAGGATTAGCTTGGTCAAGGTCGAGTATACCCCCGGTTTTGCATTTCGAATTCCATGTATCATTCGAGTTATGTACATCCACATATCGCCTGCTGGCATTGAAATGTCAACGTAATCTGTGGACTATCCACATTTCGTCCACTGAGATTGAAAAGTCCAAGTCAACATATATATATACCACATGTTAGATTAGGGGCACGCTGGTAATTCCACATGTTAGATTAGGGCTTCACTGAGTTGTAGTTAGAAAACTTGACAAAATCCCTAAGGCCCCGTTTGTCAAAGAGTTAAGAGGAATTAAGGAGAATAATTAACATAGTTAGCCCATTCGATAATCTGAAAGACTAAATTATTAACCTGTTATAAAAGTTTTATTTTAACATTTATGATCATTTGTAGTGTTTGGGAATAATAAGGATTTTGACTATTTTCTTTATAATTAGAATGATTAACTCTTAATCCTTCTAAATAGGAGTATTAGTAAACCCCTTATTTTGAAGGGTTAACTCATCTTAATCCCTCTAGAGAGGTTAGCTTAATCATTTTATATTTTTTATGTTTGACAAATTATGGAGGGTTACATCATTTTAATCATTGTATAGATTTTTTGTGTTTGACGGGTTAAGAAGGGGTTAAGTCTCCCTAATCCTTCAGTTAACCCTTCGCCAAACGGTACCTAACAGATCAAGTACCGAGACTTGGCGGACTTTTTTCAAATTAATATTGATTTAGGGACTAATATGCAATCATCACTTGGGATCCTATCAAAACCGTCCCCGTAGGAGTGGGTAATGTACACCATCAGCTCAACAACCACGATTCCAAAACCAATCGTATAAGGGGGTGTTTGTTTTGCTTTTTTTTTTGGGATATGATAGTTTTGGGATGTAAAAAGTGCTTTTTTGTGGTTTTAAAAATCCATAACTTTGTTTGTTTCACTTTTTTTTTGGGATATTGAATCCCTAAATTATAAAACAATAATATTTTATTAGGATTTGTGAAATTCTCTCTCTTGTTTCCATCTTTTTTTTGGGATATAAGGTTTTAGAAATCGATAACTTTGTTTGTTTCAAAACCAATTTTGGGATATCAAATCCCAAAATATTAAAAACTATTATATTTAGGCATTTGTGAAATTCTACACTTGAGAGAGGATGTGGGTTGGATATTGATGTATTAATGCTTATAATGTAAGATTAATATAAGATTAATATATTATATATAATATTATAATAATATAATATTTAATATAATACATCTATCGTAGTATATATATAAAATTTAATTATATATATATAAATATAAATTAGTAGTGTATATATATACGTAGTTATATTATTATATAGTATACGATGTATTTATATTATATACCTCTAATATATATTAATATATATACTATTGTCAAATCAAATATATATAATATATACTATAATGAATATATATATATAAGTAATAGTGTATGATAGATGTATATATTATGATATTATTATATATAGTAATATTCAATATTATAGTATATATATATATATACAAATATTAGTATATTATATATCACTGATTCATGTTGTAGTAAATTACTGTAGCCGATATATTAGCTATATTAGTATTATATAATTATAGTATATATATAATATGTAGTAGTATATAATTTAATTATTTATATATATAATATAAGTATATCATATATCCAATTTAATTATATATTATATATATATATAGTAGTATATATATATAATAAATATTATATATGACTGATTACTAGGTAATATATAGCAGTATAGTAGTATATATAAGTATCACAAGAATCGTATATTATTATATATCCAGCGTTTCAATCGCCTTATTAAATTACTGTCAGCATTTGTATATATATATTATATAATTTTATACAATATATAATATGTATAGTATAATATTATATAATTATATATATAATATAAATATAAAAAATTATATATGAATCACGCCTATGTATAATATATGGAATTATGTCTAGTATAATCAGTTATGTACTAATTATATAATTCCGTTGGTATATTATAAGTATCAATTATAATTATATATGATAATACTATATCATATAGTAATGATACATATAAATGGTATATATAATATTATAATTTTGTACTTATATAAGTTATATATTTCTATATGGTGATATATATAATATGTACATATAATATCTATATTATTTACGTATACTATAATATAAATAATCATATATATACCTATATAGGGTATATATCAATAAAGTATATATATCATGACTCACTATAATATATAATCTTTATATATAATTAAATACCGTATGTGATATTATAGTATATATATATTATATATAATTATATAAGTATCATAGTATGTATAATAAGATATTATAAGTATTATATATATATATAATAATATAATTAAAATAAATATAATATATTCACATTATAGCGTAATATATAGCATATATATATATATATATATTCATATACTAGTAGTAATATAGTATATATACTATATATATAGTAATAGTATACATATAGAAGTATATATATATAATATATTATATATATATATATATATATTATATTATATATTATATATTATATATACTATACATTATATATTATATATCAATGTGCATGCTGTAGTAAATGTTGTAGTAAATTACTGTAGCATATATTATATATATTAGATATATTATATATATATTAAATTATTTATATTATATATATAAATAATATATAAATAATATAATATATATATATATAATATAAATTATATAAAATAATATATAATTTATATATTACAATATATATTATATATTATATATAAAATATATAATATATCTATAATATTATATATATATACATATTATATATTATATAATATATGTTATTAAAATTTTATATAATATTATAATATATAATTTATAGTATTCCAAATCCCAAAATATTGATGAAACAAACAAAATATTACAAGTTTTAGCATTCCAAATCCCAAAATATTGTTGAAGCAAACACAACCCCCTTTATGGATTTCAAATCCTAAAAGCCACATCATTTATGGATTTCAAATCCCATTTTGAAATCCCAAAAAAAAAAATCAAAACAAACACCTCCTAACCGTCCATGAACGGTATAGATTCCCTATCCTACAGGGTGCCCTATATCATTCACAAGGAGATTTTTATATGATTTTATGAAAAACCTTCCATTCAGGGGGCATATCCGTAATCTCAGACATAAACCTCTCGACAGGAGCGGCTCATCTCAGAAAAAGAAAAAAACCGTGTACGTACGATTGGTTAAGGGAGGAAACAACCAATAATAAAAGGGGCGGTGGATTAGAATACCGCTCCTCCCGGTCCCCCTTTGTCTCCCAGAAAAAATTTAATGACGATTAACAATAAATTAATAAATTATTAATATAGTTTCCGAAACAGTGGAAGCCTTTAAGAGCCTCATTAGTCACCAAATCCAGTGGTTTTCCAAAATCCCCACGTCAAAATTCCCAATGGCCCCTGGTTTTGCACCCCCCCCTCTCCTCCCCCTCCTCATCTTTATATAACCTCAACCCGGTTCCGACCCCTGATCCCTTCACAGAGACCCTAACCCTAGACCCGTCATCGAGATGAAGATCGAGGAGCTGCCTCTTGGGGTGAA